TCATATTCTTTCTAAATAGAAAATGTGAAAAAATAATATTCATATCACGTGCATTTGCACATGTCGGTTCCTGTTATAACAATAATTACACCAAGCGTTAATCCTCCTCTTGGAGTCGACACATGTCTCATATTAGCACTAATTATTAGATCAGCCAGGGAGACTTAGGTCGCATGGGCGCGCTCGGCCCTTCCCTAGCCAAGACGAGTTCTCACTCAACCTTATCGATCATTCGAGTCAACCACCATCATTAACTCATAGCCAGGTCGACAACTTGCAAGGCCGGCAAAAAAGGCGGTACTTGTCGTCTAACTCACGAAGCCGAGTCAATAGGCAGTTTGTCCGCGAACTCTACGTCAACAGCTGTCCATCATCACCATGACTAGTGCCACTAATCTCCATAACTCATCACCCCCATACCTCCTCAATTACCATCACATTATATCAATGGTGACTCATCACCACTCATCACTCATGCAGTCGACATCTGTAAAGCTATCTGCCGATTTAGCTGTCTACCTGGACTCTGCCAAAAGTATGCTTCTACCCCTCTCAACTGGGTATGTATATGGGCTCATCGCCCACTGATCAGAGATCTTGGGAGGCCCCCTCCTCGAGGCCATATATATGCCACTTCTAGTTAATTAATCTTATCACCTGCATATCTAGAATTTATACAGTTTATTGATTCCCCATCAAGCTCTATACTGACTTGAACGTTGAAGGAATCACCGAAGAACCCAACTCCGGTCCTCTGACGTGCCTATTTTGTAGTTCTCTTATTTTTAAACAAGGGATCAGTTGCTAGAGGGGATGAGGGATCCCACTTCGTTCATATTCACCCTAAACACTATCACTGATTCGAGATTATCTACTAATTAACCTCGCTGCTAACTCCCTGTACATCAACAATTTCTAGTGAGTACTATTAAAGATTGAGTAAATAACAAGTATTACCCAAACAAATAGTTTGTTGATTCTATCTCCACCCCGTACGTGCCTTACAACCCAGGGCATGATGGAAGCCCGACCAGCACGCGTAGGAGGGCCCATTCTCCATGTTTGCTGGGCCTGGTGGGCCTTGACATCTCTTCGCCGTGTGTGCAATTAGGTCCCACTAACCACTGCCCCCCGCTCCGAATATTTTGATAAACTTCGTTGTAGGTCGTTTGTGAATCTAATGTCATACCAATGCAATGAATAACATAGATTTGTTCGTCAATTGCCACTAACAGATATATATAAATAAAACGTGAGAAAAATGAGTATTTCTTGGTGTTAAGCTCAATTTGGTTGTTTGGTATAGTGACGTAGGTATTTCTCACATGCATATTTAAAAATACCCATTTAAAAAAATAAATCCCACTTAATTACAACTTATTAAATAAGAGGATGAGAAACAGTCACATTACTACCAAATACCAAATTTAATGTTTAGTACTAAACATATCTATACCCCTCATAAAACAAGTATCAGAGAATTACACTATCTAATCCATTTAAACTTGAGAATTGATGTGTATTACTGAAAAAATACACAATATAACAATATTTTCTCAATATCTGCTGGCATCGTGGCATATGCAAACGCACGTTTTAGAAGAAAAAAAAATATTTTTTAACTTCGTGTACAGGAAAAAGAATGTATATGATTATGATATAGATATTGAAAAGTTAATACTTTTGCCATTTTATCCCTTCTCCTTAATTTTTCCGGTTATCATCAGCGGCTTCGACATCAAGAGAAAAAATGCCGCGTGTCTCGTTTTATTTTTCACTATTTTTGGCACGTTTTGTTAATCTTGTTAGGTCCATACAAACAATAACTTGATGTATTAACTTAAAATTTTAAGTAGTCGATAATTTTCCTACGGAAGAAATTCTGCTGCGGGGTGACACCGGAGGCTATCGTACGCCGTGCAAGGCGGCACGTGACACATACTGTACCACACTGTTAAGTGGGACCCATCTCAAGCTTTGACGGCAACGCGACGTTACGATTCCTCGCTCTCGAGAACCTCACAGGTGGACGGCACGGGCCGTTAGATTACGGACGGCAGAGATTCACGGTGGCAGATCCGTAAAAAAACAAGCGATAAAAAAGTAAAAGGCAACAGTAAACAGTGAAAACTGGCCCGAAAGTTCTGACGCCTTAAGCCCCTTGCTTCTTTGCGTGCTCTGCACGCTAAAACTGCCCTCTGTTGGTCTCGTGCGTACGGTTCCAAGGCTGGACATTATTTTTTTTCTAGTAGGCCCCTCCAAGAATGTTTTTTTAGCATGTTATGTCTAGTTGCTGTATCTGGGCCTAGAAATGACATAAATTATTTTTCTCCGAATATGGATGGGGAAAAGAAAATATAGTCCCATATATAGATCGCCACCTAGGCAAAATTATACAATAGAAAAAGATCGTGATGGAGTTCTACACTGTCAGGTTTAATATCAATACGATGTTACGGTTGGAAGAAGGTGTAGGTGTATATTTAAAACGAATATAGTATGGATGTAATTTACATCGCATAAATACCATCAAACTGTTGCGTGAATACAATTATCAACTTTATAATCATTAAATAATTGTTGTTATCTATGCAAATGCTAAAAAATACCTATAAAGATATGCAAAAGTCTCGTCCTATGGCCATAATAGAAGTCATGTAAATATTTACTTATAACATGATTAGTTTTGTGAAGAATAGTTTTTGGAAGCAGGTTGATAACTTTATAAGAATGGTAAATTGCTTCCGGCCCGATTTTCTTAGAAGTTTTCTACCACTTCTCAAGACTTTTTCAACGCTCCTAAAACCTTCAAAAGTAAACACATAATTCTCTGAGCCCCCAAAACACAAAACCCAAGAGTTTTAAACATGTCAAGACCATGATACCCTTTCTCTCACTCTCACTCTCTCAGAAGCCCCCGTCTCCTTCAACCTCGCCCAACACCAGCTCAACAAGCAGCACGAGCTCGAACAATGGAGCTCAGCCATCAGCATCCCTCCCTTCTCTAACTCCCAAATCAAACCCTAACGGTTATGCTGAGTCATGTCACTCCTTTAAACCCTGGTTCTTTCAATAGATCGCCAGTGAGTTTGAATTTGGAGATCTCGGTCTCGCCGGTGAGAAAGGGTATTATTTGCACCTGTCATCGAGGAAGGCGGCGCCGAGAGACACTGAACCGCCTAAGCTTCTGCCTCTGTTTCCGTTGACTTCACCGAAGATGGAGTCCGGCGAAGTCTGCAGGCGGTCAATCGAGTGTATGAGGTGTGATTGGTACTGCAGTTAATTATTGAGAAATTAAATGAGATTTTCGATTAGATCTTGTGATCGGCCAAGTCTTTTACATACAATTATCATCTATATGATAAAGCTGCTTAATGTTGTTTCTTTCTGATTAATTTTTGGTAATTTAGCTTAATTAGCATTTTAATACCATGAAATTTTACTCTCTTTAAAATTTTGATGGCATGAAGTTTATTTTGACAATTTAATGTTTGGATTGTAAAAAGGTTAACCTATAATTTATGGTCAACTTTCGGCATTTTTTGCTCAGAATTGAGCTTCACGATTTTAAAGTTGGTTGTGAAGGATATGCATTAGTTGTGAATGTGTTACGGTTTGGTTGTGAATGTCTTATGGGTTGGTTGTGGAGGTTATGTGTTAGTTTTGGAGGTTACGCGTTGGTTGTGTTGGTTGTGAATGTTACGGGTTGGTTGTTAAGGTTACGGGTTTATTGTAAAATTTACATGTTTATTGTTAAGATTACGCGTTGGTTGTGAATGTTGGGGGTTGGTTGTGTAGGTTACAAGTTGGTTGTTAAGGTTACGGGTTGATTGTTAAGGTTACAGGTTAATTGTGAAGGTTAACATCACAACCAATGCGTAACATTCACAACCAACACGTAACCTTCACAACCAACACGTAACCTTAACAATAAACTCGTAACCTCCACAACCAACTCATAACTTTCACAACAAACGCGTAACTTTAACAATAAGTATTTGGTATTCATGGTCCATTACAATAAACACTTTGTTATTGTGGTTGAGGGTGATATGATTCTTGATTACCCTTCTTTCTACACAGCTCCCCAACTCCATTTGACTGACGTTAGTCTCTCAAAATCTCATATTTTGAAACTAGTCCCCCAAATCTTCATATTTTAAAATTAGTATGCTATGAAACTAGGGAGGAGTATCAAGGTTGGTTGTGAATGTTTTACGGGTTGATTGTGGAGGTTACGCATTGGTGGTGAAGGTTACAGGTTGGTTGTGAAGGTTACGCGTTGTCAAGGTTAACTTCACAACCAACCCGTAACCTTCACAAGTGAATGGATTCCATGGTAAACATCTCTATCATAGAATCAAGTTGAATTTTGGACACTGCCATTTGTTTTCTTAGCTAATGCCCATGTTTCATCTGTGGAGTTTAATTATACGACTCATAAGTTCCCTCCCATGATAAGTTGCAATGTCTTTTTGTTCGTCTTTTACTCTTAAAGTAAATACCTCGATCCTTTTCCATTCAGTAGAAAATTTGTCAGTTTGATGATATTTGTTGAAGAACTTTGCCATTCAGCAGAAAATTTTTTAGCTTGTATTTCTTAAAACTAACAGCCTATTAATTGTAGTGGATGTTGAAGCATGAAGTAGTAAGCTCTTTTTTTGTCAGTCAAGAACCAAAGTTAAAACTTCAAAGCCCATAATGTCAACATAAACACAAATAGTTCACAATCACACGCATACTCGCGCCTCACTTTATATTTAAAAAATGCGAATAACACATAAGAGCCAGCTAAATTGTCTCATATAACAAGGGGCTTCGATACATGCTTAAATAATCAACCCGTAACCTTAAAAACCAATCTGTAACCATAAAAACTAACCCGTAACCTTCACAGTCAACCCATAACTTTAACAAACCAACATGTAACCTTCACAACCAATCTGTAACCTTAACAACCAACACGTAACACCTTCACAGCTAAAGCGTATCATTCACAACTAACGCGTATCCTTCACAACCAATCTGTAACCCCAAGACATTCTCTTTTCTCCCTTCTTCTTCTTCTTTACAAATTTCACGAAAGAAATGGAGGCTACGGTGGTGGGGGTTGGTGATGCTGTTGTTACGGGATTTGTTGGGGCGGCAACGACGTCGGCAACCGTACCAGTGGAGTTTGTTGCTGTTGCTGTTGGTGGTGGTGGCGAATTTGCGACGACAGTGGCTATAGTTATGGAGTAGTTTGGAACAAGAAGGTTGGGATTGGGGGCGTGGCCGGAGGTAGCTGTATGGTTTGCCGGGTGACTTTCTGGAGGAAGGAGATGATGGCGACGTGGAAGCGCCGTGCGCGCTCGTTGGCAGCTGAGCTCGTGCTCTCCGGGCGAGAGCCTAGACATCTCATGTCGCACTGTCACCCTCCTCCTCGAAGCCATCCGATCTTGTCTCTTCTCGATCGCCTCCTGAAAACATCGCTGCATCACCTCTTGCCTCTCCATCACTTGCCTCATCAGTCCCTCGAAGAACGCCATCATCTTCCCCATCCCGCCCCCGCTACTCCTGCCGTTGTCCCCTCTCTTCCGCTTTCTCCTGCCACTCAGCACCTCCTCTGTCGCCTCATCGTCGTCGTCCGACTCGGACCCCAACGGACGACGACAATGAATTCGTTGAGAAGTTGCATTGCGTTGATGTCGTACTCGAACGGGGGTCCCTGAGGAAGGGGAGTTTGAGAAAGATAAATGATATTATAATCTTCACATATTTTAATCACTTAGGTTTTGTGTTTTGGGGGCTCAGAGAATTATCGCTTTACTTTTGGGGGTTTTGGGAGCATTGAGAAAGTTTTGGAAGGAGGTGAAACACTTGTAATGAAATTAGGGGCTAGAAGCAATTTCCCCTTCTATTTGGTTGATTTCCTAAAAACCAAGAAATGGAAATAAAAAGGTGGAAATATCAAAAAGTACAATTTTATCCATTTCCATACCTAAAATTCACCCACAACATCTAATAAAATATTATTTTTATCCAACAACTCATCCACAATATCTAATAAAATATTATTTTTATCCAACTACTCATTCATCACATCTAATAAAATATTATTTTTATCCAACAACTTATCTATCACATCTAATAAAATATTATTTTCATCCCCCGGACCTACCCCCAACCTAGAGTAGCTAGGCGCGGAAGTAAAATCAATAGCACGTATTTACATATGATGAATAATATTTTCAGTTATAATAGATTATTTGTATATGATAGACTGTTGATTTTCAGTGCCAATGGCGAATTCTATACCCATTATTTGTTTTTTCAATGAGAGTCTCGGCGTCGGAGTGAATAATATGTCTATGTATGATGGAGGTTCTAGGAAAATGATCATGTTATCTAATTCATGTAATTATGATGGAATGATGAAGAAAATACACAGAATTACTAAAATTAAGAAAGAAGAATATGCAATTAAGGTGTTCTTCAACTGTCTGATAAATGAGAGTAGAACTATTACCATGGAGATTACCGATGATGAGGAATTGAATGACATGAAACATTTAGTCGAGAAACCAGTAATCCTAAACTTTTAAGCAGAGCCTTTCAGGGCTCAACATCAAGTGTTCGGGACTAGTAGTCCCGAACATTTGATGTTGAGCCGCAAGGGGCTCTGCTTAAAAGTCGGGACTAGTCCCGACTTTTAAGCAGAGTTGAATCGAGCTCAACACCAAGTGTACGGGACTAGTAGCCCCGTACACTTCGAAAAAACTTTCTCTAGTGCAAAACCGATTCTTTTCAGGGGAAAATGGTCTGTTTTGCTCATTAAAAATTCAAATGGTCGATTTTGTTTAATAAATTTGAAAAATGAGCTTTTTTTTTTATTTGTCCATGTTTAAATAACTTTGCATTGCATTTATTTTTTATATCATATATATAGTTTTAAAATAGTACGTCACAGATGTCCATCAAAGGGAGACGAATCGGATTCATTGAATTTTGGAGATAAAAATCAGAGATCTCGAATCCGCAAGTAGTCTGCTCTAGACCCTAGAGCAGGTTCGATGTACGCGAACCTCTTGAAACTATAAATGCTTCTCTTCCGTCACAAATCCTTCTACAATTCCCCTCTCAGCAATTTCACAGATATATATGCAACTAGATACGGGGTGATGAGAGAATGACTAAGGATTCTATCTTTAGAAAGTTCCGGCCTCTACATTCATATATAATTAGAGGGTTAGTTTAGAATTTATATCCATTCTATTTATGATGTAGATTAACCCATTTTTATTGTTGGAATTGAGGATTTCATGCGATCTATACCATTTACGTGTGGTTGGAGAGTTAATTTAGAAATTGTATGCAGTGAATATTGCACAAAAATACAATACGTATTGTTGATGTATGAAATCACACAGTCAAATAAAAGGAGTTGATTAAATTGACGGAAGTCCTCTAACTCTCTGAATGTCTGTTCTTGAGCAAATTGTTCTTCCCTGCACAAGTAACAAATCGTAAGAGGGCGGAGTGTGACTCCTCAGTTGTTTCTCCGACGATCAAGTTAGTGGGTTGTTTGTGTGAAAAAGTAAAAGAAACTGCATTAATTCTTAAGTTCAAAGAGTAATGAGAAAAAACGTACCCTATAATTAAAATAGTATCATCTTTTAAAATAGGGGCATGAGGGTAGAAGGGTAATTTCGACCGAGCATGAGCTGACGGCCACATCAGTCTCAACTTTATAAGTGTCGGCCGACAAGCGGAGAAAATATCACTTTGGCGTTTAATACGGAGTGATAGGGAGTGTGCGGTGTCGACGTGGTGCGATGTAGCATAAATACTATTAGGGCCCACATGAATGATGGCACTCATAATACATTTAATGGAATTTATTACAATGTGATTGGTCATCAGTGCACAGGAGGGGCTTGAGGCTCGATGCGTTTCGTCACCTTTCTGTTTGGTCTCATGTTATGAGCCTACATCGTCTAATATTATTTTGATGATTACAAACAATTCCTAATATTATTTGTTTAGTATTTATGTTTTCTTATTAGGTATTCTAGACAAATAATATATTGGAGGATGGATGGACTAGAGCTTTCACGATCATATCCATTGGAGGATAGAAGAAAATAGTGGAAAGAAGCCTATGCACACTAGTCAAAATCTAAGTTCATGCTTCTTCCATGTTTACCAAGACGAGCATATTGAAGATCTATCAAGCTTTGGTATATTAGTTGTTTTGTAGTGTATATTGTGTGAATATATTTCAAGCTTAATATATATACACACCCACACACAATTTTGATTTTATTACAAAATGAGTTTATTTGAGAAAACAATGCGATATTGGTTTATTAATCTTGTTTACATTACATTCATGTTTTATAACGTTTATAAAAACAATTCATAAAGTTTCCACATGTTCTTACATGTCAAAATTCATTTTCAAGATTCATCAAAAACATGTACTATGTATATTTTTGATAAACGTTGAGTTTTTATAAATATGATGATCTTTTTTGTAAAATTCCTTTTCAAATATGTTTGTCAAAATGTTTATAAACTGTTTACAAAGTTTCATATTTTTTGAATTTATTTACTATTTTTAACAGAGCCTTGAAACTCAATTTCAAAATCGATTCAGGCTGATAACCTGTTATCAGTCAACTGATGTGTCGACTGATAAAAATACCTGCAATCATCAAAAGTCTCTGTTTTATTTTGGTCGACTGATGATCCATCAGTCGACTGATAAATATCGTCAGTCGACTGATGAGCTGGAAAATGCCTCTAACGGTCGGCTCATCAGTCGACTGATGAAACCCGTTAGTCGACTGATAAGCCTTCAAACGACTAGTTTTGTGCAATTTTTAGATTTTTAGTTTTTGACCTGTTTTGTCTTTTTCTCTGGGTTTTGACTGATGTCTTGAGTTCCTATAAATACCCCAGTGCATTCAACTCTTATGGCAATCAAGAAAATTGTTTTAATCAAGTTTTGAAAGAGTTTAGTTTGTGTTAAGCATTGTTTTAAGTTTGTTTCAAAAGAGGAGTTTTTCACAAGGAGGAAGCTTTTGATTTCAATTGAGGAGTTCATCCTCATCATCTATCTACAGCTCATTGTGTTTATAGAAAAGGTTTCTAAGTCTTTTATCTAGCTTATTTATCTTTTGATATTCATATTCATATCTTAGCTAGTGTTATTTGAGTTATAATTTTATTGTTCTCATTTATCCCACTCACACCTCAATTGAGCTTTTAATATTATTCATACAATATATTGTTGGGTTGTGGTGAGTGACTTAGTGAGAGTGAGCTTCATAGTGTTCTCATTCATTATTAGAGAACAAATCTTGTATTTGAGCCTTATTGTGAGAGTTCACTTTGTAATACACATTTACACCAAGAGGAGTGTGTGGTGAGGACGTAGTCGATACCAAGAGGAGTGACGTCTGTAGTAAAGCCTAGAGAGAGGTAGTAAAGCCGATCACTTGAGGGAGGCGATATGTGAGGACAAACACTTGAGGCTGTAGTTTGTGTATGTACATTGTGAGAGATTTTGTAGAGTTTTTGGTGAGCTAAAAAACCGAGTGTGTATAAAAGTTTCGGCTTTCAAACCGGGTGTGTCGATAGTGGAGTTCTCCCTAGAAGTGGGAAGCGGAGACGTAGGACGGAAGGTCCGAACTCCGTGATCATATTATTGTGTTTGGATTGCTCTTTATGTCCACTATTTGTTTATATTGTTTCTTATTTATTTTTTTCCTTTGCACATATATCCTTGCATATATCTTATTGAATATCATCATTGTTAGGATATATTTATTAATAACTTTTAATTTGGCATTAATATCTAATAAGATTAGCAATAATTATATTCACCCCCTCTCTAGGGTACTTTCATTTTCTACTCGTCTAGTGGTCGAGAAGTACTGTCTTTTGAGTCGCCCTAGCAAGATATCGACCAATTAGTCGTCTGAGTGGAGTGGTTAATCAGTTAACTCATCCATTGAACGACATGTAACTCTTTTCGAGTCGTCGACATGTAACGCTTTTCGGTTCGTCGACATGTGTCGTCTTTCGGGTCGTTGACATGTGATGCCTTTCAAGTCGTCCTCGCAAGATGTCGGCATGTCAAGTCGATCGAATTGGGTCTCTGATTATCTTGAGGTGCTGATTTGATTATGCATAATGTAGGATACTTGTCTGCTATTGATTTAAAGATTATTTTTCATCACTAAAACAGGTATAATGTTGTGCTGACGGCGGCGCCGAGGAACCAAAACAAACGCCGATCCAAGAAGGCCAAAAACAACCAAATATCAATGCACAAACCCAAACACCAATTTTAACGTGGTTCGGCAATTGCCTACGTCCACGGGGCAAGAAGGGGGAGGGTTTCCACTAATAGAGAAGGAGAGTACAAATTGAGATTAGAAATCGCTCAAACGAACCAACTAATCTCACCAACAAATCTCTCAACCTCTCAACCAATAACCCTAACAAATAGCTCAGAAAGATCTCTCTTTTGTGCTCCAAAATCCCCCAAAAC